GAGGGGGCGGGGGTGTTAAAATCTCCCAAAGAAAAGTCAAGAAAGGGCCCAAATATTTTCGGGCAATATAGACCACAGCTCCTCCAATAGATATATGAATCCCGTACGCCTATGAGTATACTACTATACATTTATATTGCACTCATGTGCATAGAGAGACAAGGTACGAAATTAGAATCTATAAACAATCAACTTTAATACATGCATGGTTGGGTATACAAAAACGTTTTGCCGTAAAAAAGAATTTCTTTCTTGTTGCTTTGAGCTATTAGGCTATATTAAAACCGACGAAACATGTAGTAAGCGTATATATTAAGTGAAAGTGAAACTTATTCTCAAACAAATAAATTAACCAAGACTGCATGTCGTAATCTCTCTGAAAGGGCGAAGCAGTAACTAAAGGGTGTATATATAGAGGCATCTAACGGCAAGTGATTTAACGATCACACGGAGGGGTTATTAGAGACCTTACGATTTTAGGACGGCAACGCGACGACGACGGCCAAAACAAACTCCCTCAAATAAATGGTAGTATTAAGCCCACTATTTGTTGTATATTAGTTTCTCATCCGGGGCTTCTCCTAAAGTGGATGCGGGCTGGCGGGCCAATACCATTATTTGCTGGATTTCCCCTCCCCATAAAATTTGTTTTGGAAAAGTGCATGTGCATTAAGCATTTATATAGCAACTTTCTGGAACACAGCACAAAATCAGTAAGTGCAACTGAAAGCACGTTTTCATAATTTTGTACCCAGAACGTCTGGCGTTTTTCGGCCCTGCCCCTGGCTTCCGGTAGAACTTTTATAGCTGAGTTTGGATATTTAATAAGTGTGTACGTAATGCGGGAAAAACTTCCAGTTTGGTTATGAAATTTTGTATTTTAACTATAACATTTGGTTTGGGAACGTTTCTAATTGTCTTTCTTTCAAATTTCACTTTGAAGACATCACAAAATTTATAATAATGGTCAAAAATGGCAATAATAATGGCGAATAAGGCCATTTTCTTAAAAAAGCATGCGGGCGGGGATGAGAAACTAATATACAGCAAATAGTGACCTAAAGACAATTCGTGGTATATTAGCAATCGTATGAATTTAATACAATCGTATGAATTCAATGGGTTTTATGTTTGGGAAGAGTTCTGCTGAAGCCAGTTTGAAGTTGCACTTATTGCGGCTTGAAATGCAGCCGTTGTATCAAGACGTGAAAATCTGTGGTTTGGCGTTGTAAACAAAGCGAGGACAATGTCTAAATTATTCATATATTGCAATTATTGAATTCTTTTTAATTATTTATTGTATTTGTAGCCGTTGCTGTCCTAAATTGTAAGGTGTCTATTTAAAAATCGGGGAACCATGCAAGGTAAGCATGGTTAAAAATTTTTCGAGTATGCGGACGTATGCATGCACATGCATGGTTTACGCTACTCATACGTTTCTCTCATACGCAATAGTGTGACAGGACCTTAACCGAGATCAGCATGTAATTGCAGTTCTTAAAAAACATGAAAATATTAAACATGTATAAAATATTTGTTTCATATTATAGTGGCAAAATAAATCTGCACTATATCTATGATGAGAAAAAAGTGCTCCTTCAAGGCATTGTATAAATTGGCACACATATATCCTTTCCCGCACTTTTCTTATACATTTTTGTTTATATATACCATGCATGTAGTATTTAATGATACCCATAAACGTAAAATTTCAAGCATATATAATTGCTGGCATATTTATAACTTACTCTCTATCCAAAAAAGAGCCATATTTGAAACAGTAAACAGTTTTGTATGTTTTTAACGCGAAAAATTTAAGTGAATGCATTAACAAATTATAGCTTATAATTAGTCGAATTAGCGAAAATTGACTATATTCATGACGCGCTTGTCAAGCGAAAAACACACTGCCCAAAGATTTTATTATTTATTCTAGTAGATGTGTCATAATACTCAGTAGCTGCAATAGATTGGATACCTGATACCGTTGCACTTTTGAGAAAAAATAATTTACCGCCAGCATACTAACACGAATATTTAATCAGCTGTCCGAAAGACGTTTTTTAAAAATACACAATATTTTGTTTGCTTCAAGTGATCAGGATAATTTTTAGTTTAGGTTTATGCCTAGGCAGGAAATAATAAAATATGTAAGTTTCAAGAAGTTAGAATAAAAGCGCGAGATGAACTGTGAGATATAAAAAAGCTCAAATATCACTTGCGTAATTAACGTTTTAACTTGTTTTCGAACGCGTCCGAAAATAATTGCGAAAAAATTTTTAAAACTGACTACAATTTCCAAGTCAAAGTTTTTTGTTCATTTTATGAATGACTTCTTCCACACAGAAAGTTTGAAGGAAATCTGTAATCTTAAGAAATTCGAGTGGTCGGTTTTTACACGGACTGCCTCTTAATTACGTAATGTCAACCTTTTCCCGACACACTCCCCCTATTTACAGAAACGTAACTTTTAAATATAAACTTATCTGTCTTATATACACACGAACGTCTACACGTATTTTTACCGTCTCTACCCATCAAAGTTCTTCCTGTTCCTGTTCATAAATTAGTTCAATATTCTTCCTTGCATCGACAACCGCTCTATGCTTTGGTTTGAACTCCTTTGCAGCAGGATTCAATGGAACAGTTTCTTGATTGCTTTCTCTATCACAATGCAATTCCAAAGGGTAAAGAAATTGTATTGGTCTTTCCATGAATGATTTTCCTGCACGTAGTCTAACTCCACGAACCACTCCGTCTCTTCCGAGTATAAGTTGTCGTCTGTTGTTCAACAATCTCAATTTTCCACAGTCTACGATCCTTTTCATCACCTTTGATCAACATAACATCACCCTTTCTTAGCTCTCTCTCGTTCCTGTCATGTGTTAAAGGACATTGGCAACGAAAATTTTTATTGGCTATTTCAATCCTACTTGACAACCGAACTATGAAAATATTATCATTTCCTTCTTGAACATTTTAGTCTTCGAATAAAATGCATGCAAACTTTGTGTTTCGGCCAATTTCGCCGCCATCTTGGAAAATATTTTTGAAAAATTATCTCGAAGGTCAATGAACTTTGTGACGTCATTGGCTGGATAGCACCAAAACTACAAGAGAGAATTCTATTGCGTGCGTGTTATGTTAGCTAAAAATATGTCGTTTTGAGCGTTATACTGGCCAACACTCTTCGCAATCAAACAAGAGAACTCTACACTATCAGATAAAAACATATCGAGCGACTGGGAAAGCAAGAAATGGCGCAATTTACAATGCAGGTAATTGATCATACAATATTGCATTAGTATTTGCCTTTTTACACTCGAATTTCTGCGCTTATTTAACACGGAGTAGGATATATACTATGAGAAATAGTGTTACAAACAAGTTACATACTTGGTCAAACTTTTCTGCCTTTTGTTTTGGCTCAAAATGCACTACGCGTGGTAATACACGGTATTGTTTATAGTCATGAGATTGTGTTTACCCAGCCAATGACGTCAGATAATGTATTTTGTGGCATAAATTAGCATACGCTCTTATTTTCAAAATGGCGGACAACTGTTCAAATTTTCTCAAATTCAATCAAATTTTCTCAGCAACTAAACGCGAGAAACCGGCCAAAATATGAAATTAAATATTCCGTAAGTATACCTAATAGATATAAGTAATAAAAATTTTGGTTGCCAATGTCCTTTAAATTATGCCTTTCGCGAAGTGCTCTCATGTATTCTCGCCTCCATCGTTGCCACAACGCGTCCTTACATTTCTTCAAATACTTCGCCCTCTTTCGCAGGTCTCGTTCTTCTATATCCTCAGGTGATAACTCCATAAGATAATTTGCTTTACCGAAAATCATCATGTTCGGCGTCAACACGGGAAGTTGAATGTCATCCTCGCAGTACGATAGTGGTCGATTGTTCAATACGAGCTGGATATCTAGCATCACGTCTTGCAATTCTTTGAAGGTAAGTTTTGCCGATCCTACGACCTTATAAAGAGCTTGTTTCGCTATGCTAACCATTCGTTCAAACATTCCACCCCACCAGCTAGCTTTGCGTGTAGCCTTGTAACTTTTCGTTCCGTACGACTTTCTTGATCCATTTGGCAGCAGCCACGAAAGTCTTTCCGTTATCGGATATGATCTTCTTTGGACGACCTCTTGCTGCGATAAATCTTTTAAAACTGATCAGGAACTCTTCACAACTCATGTTTGGCAGAATCTCCAAGTGAAGTCCTCTAGTTAAACTGCAGGTATAAATGACTATATACGACTTACGATCAGCTCCCCCATTTCCCTTGTAATAGATTGGTCCGGCATAATCGACACCAGTTACTTCGAAGGGGTTTTCACCTTCAGTTCGTTCTTTTGGAAGATTCCCCTGAGGTGGAGCGGGCATCGGCGTTGTGTAAAATCGTTTACACCCGTAGCATTTGCCAATAACTTTCTTCACAAGACTTCGCAATGTAGGGATCCAATAATCGTCGCGTACTTTACTCATGGTTAACCCAACCCCGCCGTGAAGAGTGTAAAGATGTGCACGTTCGACAATCTTCAGAGATAGGAGGTGATTTGATGGCAAGTAAATCGGATAAAACCCTTGAATTCACCCTTTACACACGTAAATGGCTTCTTCATTTTTCTGGAGATTCAATCGTGGAGAATATTCTTTGAATTGAACAGAATTTTCACCGTCCTCTTGAGCTCGTTTAATCAGAAATTTCAATTGTTCCTCAGTCTCTTCAGTCGTTAGTGGTCCGCTGATTCTTTTACTTCTTCGACAATTGACAGCAAATTTTTTGATCCATGCCAAAATCCGCACAGTTTCCCATAGGGTTGTTTTCGCTAAAAGGTCGTCAAAGACATCTGATTTTCTTTGAACAGCAGCTTTCATCATGGTCTTGATTGTGCGACTTTCGGACTCCGACACATCAGAAGGTTTAGCAACAATCTGTTCCGGCCAGCTGTCGGAATTGTTCAGCCACGAAGGACCGCTCATTCACATTTCATTAGTTTCCAAGTCACTTGATCCCCGACTACCGATATCCGCAGGATTCTCTTTACTAGGTACATATTTCCAAACGATTTCTTCCTTCTCATTTATTTTCTCTACTCGATGGGCCACAAATTGTTTATATCTTCCCTGACTAGCAATGCGTATATGACTAAGAACTTTGAATGTGTTGTGTAGGAGGTTACTTAGCATGTGGAAACTCACTAACTCCAGGCGCGGAATAGTCAAGTCCCGTTTGGCCAATCTTGTTTTCGAAATCAGGAACCCTTGACTAATCACTCCAGCTTGCTTGATAACAGCGTAGATCACAGCGCAACAACCAAGAATGCTCGCATCTGCGAATCCATTAAGAATCAATTCGACAATCACACCGATTTCTCTAGGTATTGCTCTTGGCATTTTCAACTGTACAGGTAAATTCTTCAACCATTTCTCCCATCGCCCCTTTAGCTCTTCAGGTAGATCTGCATCCCATCCCAGCTTAGAATCACAGATATCTCGAAAGATCACTTTGGCCGTGAGTAGAATAGGAGCTGCTAATCCCAGCGGATCATAGATTTTTGCCATAGTTCTCAGAACGATTCTTTTCGTAACTTCATTTTCGTTTGGTGGAAATGTCACTGACAAAGTGTCTTCTGATTTGTTCCAGCCTAATCCAAGAAGTTTAGTCTCTGATGGTGTTGTCCCTAGACTTTCCTTCGCATAGGTAGTTTCTCCATCTTCCTTTACATGACTTTCTAATTTTGCGGCGTTCGAATGCCATTTATGTAACATGAACCCACCTTCTCCCAAGATTTTCACAGCATCTTCTTTGATTTCTCTCGTTTCTTCCACTGTGTCGCTTGCAATGTTTATATCGTCCACGTATGTACCATCTTTAAGCTCTCGAACACAAATCGGATGATTTTGTGAGCATGACAAGACTTATGTTTGGCCTGGGTCCAAGTCCATTCATTCTTGGAGGGACATTGAACGTTCATCTAGAGAAGTGCTCACAAAATCATCCGATTTGTGTTCGAGAGCTTAAAGATGGTGCATACGTGGACGATATAAACATTGCAAGCGACACAGTGGAAGAAACGAGAGAAATCAAAGAAGATGCTGTGAAAATCTTGGGAGAAGGTGGGTTCATGTTACATAAATGGCATTCGAACGCCGCAAAATTAGAAAGTCATGTAAAGGAAGATGGAGAAACTACCTATGCGAAGGAAAGTCTAGGGACAACACCATCAGAGACTAAACTTCTTGGATTAGGCTGGAACAAATCAGAAGACACTTTGTCAGTGACATTTCCACCAAACGAAAATGAAGTTACGAAAAGAATCGTTCTGAGAACTATGGCAAAAATCTATGATCCGCTGGGATTAGCAGCTCCTATTCTACTCACGGCCAAAGTGATCTTTCGAGATATCTGTGATTCTAAGCTGGGATGGGATGCAGATCTACCTGAAGAGCTAAAGGGGCGATGGGAGAAATGGTTGAAGAATTTACCTGTACAGTTGAAAATGCCAAGAGCAATACCTAGAGAAATCGGTGTGATTGTCGAATTGATTCTTAATGGATTCGCAGATGCGAGCATTCTTGGTTGTTGCGCTGTGATCTACGCTGTTATCAAGCAAGCTGGAGTGATTAGTCAAGGGTTCCTGATTTCGAAAACAAGATTGGCCAAACGGGACTTGACTATTCCGCGCCTGGAGTTAGTGAGTTTCCACATGCTAAGTAACCTCCTACACAACACATTCAAAGTTCTTAGTCATATACGCATTGCTAGTCAGGGAAGATATAAACAATTTGTGGCCCATCGAGTAGAGAAAATAAATGAGAAGGAAGAAATCGTTTGGAAATATGTACCTAGTAAAGAGAATCCTGCGGATATCGGTAGTCGGGGATCAAGTGACTTGGAAACTAATGAAATGTGAATGAGCGGTCCTTCGTGGCTGAACAATTCCGACAGCTGGCCGGAACAGATTGTTGCTAAACCTTCTGATGTGTCGGAGTCCGAAAGTCGCACAATCAAGACCATGATGAAAGCTGCTGTTCAAAGAAAATCAGATGTCTTTGACGACCTTTTAGCGAAAACAACCCTATGGGAAACTGTGCGGATTTTGGCATGGATCAAAAAATTTGCTGTCAATTGTCGAAGAAGTAAAAGAATCAGCGGACCACTAACGACTGAAGAGACTGAGGAACAATTGAAATTTCTGATTAAACGAGCTCAAGAGGACGGTGAAAATTCTGTTCAATTCAAAGAATATTCTCCACGATTGAATCTCCAGAAAAATGAAGAAGCCATTTACGTGTGTAAAGGGTGAATTCAAGGGTTTTATCCGATTTACTTGCCATCAAATCACCTCCTATCTCTGAAGATTGTCGAACGTGCACATCTTTACACTCTTCACGGCGGGGTTGGGTTAACCATGAGTAAAGTACGCGACGATTATTGGATCCCTACATTGCGAAGTCTTGTGAAGAAAGTTATTGGCAAATGCTACGGGTGTAAACGATTTTACACAACGCCGATGCCCGCTCCACCTCAGGGGAATCTTCCAAAAGAACGAACTGAAGGTGAAAACCCCTTCGAAGTAACTGGTGTCGATTATGCCGGACCAATCTATTACAAGGGAAATGGGGGAGCTGATCGTAAGTCGTATATAGTCATTTATACCTGCAGTTTAACTAGAGGACTTCACTTGGAGATTCTGCCAAACATGAGTTGTGAAGAGTTCCTGATCAGTTTTAAAAGATTTATCGCAGCAAGAGGTCGTCCAAAGAAGATCATATCCGATAACGGAAAGACTTTCGTGGCTGCTGCCAAATGGATCAAGAAAGTCGTACGGAACGAAAAGTTACAAGGCTACACGCAAAGCTAGCTGGTGGGGTGGAATGTTTGAACGAATGGTTAGCATAGCGAAACAAGCTCTTTATAAGGTCGTAGGATCGGCAAAACTTACCTTCAAAGAATTGCAAGACGTGATGCTAGATATCCAGCTCGTATTGAACAATCGACCACTATCGTACTGCGAGGATGACATTCAACTTCCCGTGTTGACGCCGAACATGATGATTTTCGGTAAAGCAAATTATCTTATGGAGTTATCACCTGAGGATATAGAAGAACGAGACCTGCGAAAGAGGGCGAAGTATTTGAAGAAATGTAAGGACGCGTTGTGGCAACGATGGAGGCGAGAATACATGAGAGCACTTCGCGAAAGGCATAATTTAAAGGACATTGGCAACCAAAATTTTTATTACTTATATCTATTAGGTATACTTACGGAATATTTAATTTCATATTTTGGCCGGTTTCTCGCGTTTAGTTGCTGAGAAAATTTGATTGAATTTGAGAAAATTTGAACAGTTGTCCGCCATTTTGAAAATAAGAGCGTATGCTAATTTATGCCACAAAATACATTATCTGACGTCATTGGCTGGGTAAACACAATCTCATGACTATAAACAATACCGTGTATTACCACGCGTAGTGCATTTTGAGCCAAAACAAAAGGCAGAAAAGTTTGACCAAGTATGTAACTTGTTTGTAACACTATTTCTCATAGTATATATCCTACTCCGTGTTAAATAAGCGCAGAAATTCGAGTGTAAAAAGGCAAATACTAATGCAATATTGTATGATCAATTACCTGCATTGTAAATTGCGCCATTTCTTGCTTTCCCAGTCGCTCGATATGTTTTTATCTGATAGTGTAGAGTTCTCTTGTTTGATTGCGAAGAGTGTTGGCCAGTATAACGCTCAAAACGACATATTTTTAGCTAACATAACACGCACGCAATAGAATTCTCTCTTGTAGTTTTGGTGCTATCCAGCCAATGACGTCACAAAGTTCATTGACCTTCGAGATAATTTTTCAAAAATATTTTCCAAGATGGCGGCGAAATTGGCCGAAACACAAAGTTTGCATGCATTTTATTCGAAGACTAAAATGTTCAAGAAGGAAATGATAATATTTTCATAGTTCGGTTGTCAAGTAGGATTGAAATAGCCAATAAAAATTTTCGTTGCCAATGTCCTTTAACACATGACAGGAACGAGAGAGAGCTAAGAAAGGGTGATGTTATGTTGATCAAAGGTGATGAAAAGGATCGTAGACTGTGGAAAATTGAGATTGTTGAACAACAGACGACAACTTATACTCGGAAGAGACGGAGTGGTTCGTGGAGTTAGACTACGTGCAGGAAAATCATTCATGGAAAGACCAATACAATTTCTTTACCCTTTGGAATTGCATTGTGATAGAGAAAGCAATCAAGAAACTGTTCCATTGAATCCTGCTGCAAAGGAGTTCAAACCAAAGCATAGAGCGGTTGTCGATGCAAGGAAGAATATTGAACTAATTTATGAACAGGAACAGGAAGAACTTTGATGGGTAGAGACGGTAAAAATACGTGTAGACGTTCGTGTGTATATAAGACAGATAAGTTTATATTTAAAAGTTACGTTTCTAAATAGGGGGAGTGTGTCGGGAAAAGGTTGACATTACGTAATCAATAGTTAAATTTAGAGATGAGGCGACTACCATATATGGTATTGATTGACAGGCGTGCTAGATAAAAGGAATGTTGTTATTGGGAATATATGTAACTGAGAGCGATTTGGGAAGGGATTTAATACAAAACAAAATTTATAACGCGTAATTTGCTCTTATTGTGGGGATCAAACGAAAATCTACCACGTGCCTTTCTTTTTGGTCGATTCTTCTTCTCTACAACGGCAGTCTTAACATCACTGTCTAATGGTTCTGCACTGAGATCTTGTGTTCCCGATGATTCTTCATTCATATCAACTAGTTCTCTTCATCCTCGTTACCGAATGTCGAGCGAATTTCCAATGAGATTAGATGTTGTATAGGTCTTCGTATCTAGGTCTATTAACCGTGGTATGATGATAGGCTTTCGAGTCTCACTGTTCAACACTCGAATCTTCGCTGATCTTACAACACCGTCAATACTTCGAATAAGCTCTTCGACCTTCGCTATTTTCCAAAATAATCGTTTCGTACTCTCGTTCTTCAAAATTACAACGCCTCCTTCGACAATTACGTCCCTAGTAATATTCTCGTCTCCATTGTTTAGTAAATTCCTTTAGTAGAATTTTTTGATGTTGAGCTCGTCTTGTCAAAGACTCGTTTGTGCTCACTATCTCGAACTGGCTGTCGTTTGGCGTAGTCGTCGTTCTCCGTCCATAAAGTAGACAAGATGGCGTAAGGGGATACGATATGCCTTCTTCATCATCGTATATGTATGTGATTGGATGACTATTTAACGTTGACTCAATCTCGATCAATATCGTGCGTAACTCTTCAAGCGATAACGTAGCTCGATCAATGGACTTTTTTAGGCATCTTTTAACACTCTTTATCAAACGTTTCCAAAAAACCCCGCGCCATGGGGCCTTTTCGACAATGAATTTCCAAGAAACGCCATTGTTTGCGAGATGTTGTTGTTGCACTTCGGGAGAACGCTTAATTTTTGACAGTTCCTTGCTAGCGGATTTAAATGTCTTTGCGTTATCTGAAATTATCATTCTTGGAAGTCCTCTGCGACCTGAAAATCTACGAAATGCTTGTAAGAATCCTTCGGCCGATAAACTCGGAAGCAGTTCTACATGAATTCCCCTGTTGACGCACGAGTAAATAGAGCGATGTATGACTTTTTTGTTGATTGTTGACCACACTTTGAGTTCTCTTTGACGTTCAGGGGTCCAGCGAAATCCACTCCCGTGTAACTAAAGGGAGTGTCATTACTTGTTCGCCAAGATGGTAGGTGCGGAGTCTTGGGCGTAGGGTACGGCTTACAGGTCACATATTTACGTAGAACTCGCTTGATTGCTTGCCTTCCATGTAGGATCCAATATCTTTCTCGAATACGGTTCAGTGTTCCTTTAATACCAGTGTCGTTTGCTGAATCGTGATGTTCTTGGATGATCAAATCTGTAACGTGATGCTTTGCGGGAATGAATACAGCTTTCTTAGCTTCAGAAGAAACAGGAGAATGTTCAATTCGTCCTTCACAGCGTATCATTACTTTGTCGTCCAGAAATAAGCGTAGTTGATGAAGCCTGGAGCTGGAAGTTTTCGTACGATTAATTAATTGTTTAACTTCTTCGGGAAACATATTGTTCTGAATATCCTTTATCCACATCTGTTCGGCTTCGATCAGTTCGTCTGCTGATAGTTCTAACGTCCTACGAACCTAAATACGTAAGCCGTCACTCGTAATAATCGTGTTTTCGAACTATATCAATGACAATCCACCACCCTTTCGACATTAACTGTGTTATGTTTCTTCTCTAAAACTGTAAGGGAATGAGTTGTTGACTTGTTGACTGATTTCACCATTTCCGATAATGCGATTTCACTTTCTGCTCCATTACATCGAGGAGGTTTCGGCCAGTTTTCTTCTGATAACTTCAGGAATTTAGGACCATGGAACCATTCGTCGTTTTTAATCAGTGCTGCTCCAGTACAACCTCGCGAAGGTAAGTCTGCAATGTTCAATTCTCCTGGGCAGAACATCCATTTATCTTCCCAAAGAGTTTTCGAATTTCGTCGACTCTTCTCTGTATGTACTGTTTCCACGGTTTATCATTTTGTATCCAACAAATTACGGATTTACTAATCGAGACCAAAGGATCTTGCTAATCGTGCTAACAAACCGAGCACGGATAGTAGCTCCTAGAAGTTCCAACTTAGGAATAGACTACTTTCGTATCGGAGCGACTCTAGTCTTGGATGCTATGATGTTGGTTTCAACATGATGGTCTTCATACTCTGTTCGCAGATAAACTACCGATGCGCATGCTTTTCCGGAGGCATCACTAAACCCATGGATTTGCTGGCTCGTTATTGATACATTGAAACGACTGAAGTAGCATCTTGGCACTTCAATTGAATTGATTGACTCTAATCCTTGTAACAGCTAGTTCCAACATGCCAATTAATTTTCATCGAGTTTCTCATCCCAATCTACGCGATCACAACAAAAACAACTGGAATAAGATCTTAAGATTGACTGTAAATGGACTAAGTATTCCAATTGAGTCAAAAATCTTTGCTGAAACCTTTAATACATTGTAGATCTCTTTGTAGCGGGTAGTGTTTTGGATATTCAACCAGTTCTTTTACACCGAATTGGAATTTATCAGTCTTAACGTTCCAGTTAGATCCTAATATATTGACAGACGTAATTTCCTTGCTATGTTGTTTTGAATCAATCTTTCTTTCACTTTCGAAAACTGAACTTGATGTCGTTTGTGTTCCGTTTGACAATGTATCTTTTTCAATTCGATCTTGTAAAAACTTGAAATTCGAATTCCATTTACGCAAAACAAATCCACCCTTCTTCATTACCTCTTGAGATTTATCGTAAATGTCCAATGCTTCTTGATCATTATCAGCTCCTCCTGCGAAGTCGTCCACGTAGAGCGATTCTTTTAACAGCTGGGGTATAACAGCACCTTTTTCGTCATGTTGTGATAAATGATTTTGTATCACAGTGGACAACATTGCTGGACTTGGTGTTAAGCCGAATACAAGGCGTCGGAATTGGAATCTTTTAATAGTGGGATTGTCCTTTCGAATGTCATCGAACCAAAGGAACCTAAGCATACAACGATCGGATGGACTAATCTGCCACTGGATAACTTCTGAATTTTATTATTGTATCAAATAAAGGCGGTATACGGTTGGGACCCTTTTGTAAGCATTCATTTATGGATGGACTGTCTATATCCGGTCTTGCTGATCCATCGAAAACCACTCGTAGTTTTGTAGTCTCTCTCTCGGACTTCAACACTCCATGATGTGGTAAGTAGTAACCCTCGTTGTCGTCTTCTTCTGGTACTGATTCAATTATACCACTATTTATTTGCTGCTGAATGACTTTATTATATTCTTCCAGAAGAGTGTTGTCTTTCTTCAGATGTTGACACACATACCATATCCTGTTGACTTTGGAAAACAGTCCTGTTTCCAGCAGATTAACTTCATATCTTCTTTCACCTTTATCAAAACGTATCTCGGGTAGAAATTCCGTTGTCTGGGTTTCACTAAACGTAAGTAGATGAAACCCCCCATATAGCGGCGGAAGTGACGTCAGCATTTTTCCCGCCATAGGACGTCAGCATTTTTAGGGATAAGAGTGACGTCATTTTTGGAACATTGTCGCGTAACATTTGTCGCGTGATCTTTTGGAATTTTGGGATGGCGTCAGCAAGTATTTGTCGCATAAACATTTGTCGCATAACGTTTATTGTCAAAAAATATGATCCTTGTATTAAGCGCTACAATACCAGTTCGAACCGGATTTAATATACTGTATAAATTGAGGTCTTCGAGTGTACAAGAGCGTAGTGTTTACACAGCTTTCGCAGAGGAAAAAAATATTTATTTTAAAATGGAAGGTTTATATGATAGGCATGATCTGTTTGCAGCAATGTCTATTTGATTTTTGGGCGAATTTGAGAGGAAATTTTTCAGGCTTCCAGGCTATTTTGAGCTACCTGATGTATTGGAGCGGAGAACATTGTGCATAAGGGCACTTTTAAGTGTAGTTTAAAGTTTTAAATTGTTTTTCAGAACAATATATAAAATGTCTTAGTTCATTACTTTGCTATAAAAATGTGTTTATACGTGTCTAATTTTCAGCCGAGAAAACGTAAAGCATTCCAACCTCTCATTAAAGAGTGGTTTTAATTCGGAAAGCAGGTAGCATAACACCAAAAACGTAGTAAAAATTTATTGAGCTAAAAGACCTATTACTCGTGAATATCATCAACAGTTTATATACACAGCAAGAGATTTGTATCTATGTACGTCATAGACGATTGATGCAATGATTGTGGGACATTACGAATGAGCCTATACGCATGTGAACTGTGCAAATGATTTTAGAGCGAAATAATGTTGCTATGATACTGTTTTGCTTGCATAAATTAGGGGTTCCCCAAGGCTTCCTTCGGGGTACGTATGCGTCTTCGCATTTTGCTCACGCGTCTTCGCATTTTTCGCATTTTGGTTCGCATTTTGCTTCGCATTTTTCGCATTTTGCTTCGCATTATTCGCATTTTGCTTCGCATTATTCGCATTTTGCTTCGCATTCTTCGCATTAAAGCCCGACTAGGCCCGAAATGGCACTTTTTGGCCCGATGGCCCGGTAGAACCCAATAGGTTAACCTACCCAAACAACCTGTTAACCCTATCTGACACCAGGGGGGAGAGTGCTGCCACTTAATTTATTTCTCTCTAAAAAGTCGATGTGAGGTGAAGGTGAGGTGGATGTAAGGTCAAGATGAGGTGGATGTAAGGTTGATGGGAAGTCGACGTAGGATCGATGTAAACAATTTAGAAGATGCCATGATGATCATATTTACGACTCGAGGAACAGATGCACGAATAGTATGACCCAAAAAGGCCATACGGGCCAAAAAGGCCATACGGGCCAAAAAGGCCATACGGGCCAAAAAGGCCACCGGAACATCTCAGCCTAGCTAGCCGTTAGTCCTTCATAATAAAAGTACTTAAGACAAAATGCGCATGCGTACTCTCAATGACGTTCAAACTATTTCACCTGTATTGTCCCACAAGCAAACCAAGCATATATCCACTATATAAGTAACCACGGTCTAAGCTCTCATTTTTCATTTCTTAAGAGCGAACTATGGCTTCTTACCAGTGTGATCGATGTCTGAAACAGTTTTCGTCCTATTATAATGTCAGGCGACATAAGGCGAGCCATTGTGCATATGCAAAGATTGACGATAATACCTCGATGGATGGAGGAGGAAGTAGCTACTCAGATGAACAAAGTGTGGACTCTTTTCCAGACGAAGAAAGTGTTACGGAAACTGAGGAAGATGAAAACAGTGAGAATTCCGAAGATGATGGTGAAATAAAGGAAGAGATTGATCCTTGGGCAACCATGATTGACGATGCAAAGGCGACCGTTCGACCAGAGTATGATGAATTTATGAAAACGTTGCAAATGGATGGGCAAGAAGAAAGTGCAGCTAAGCAGAAAGCCTTTGAAAACGTTCTCCCTGAACTTCAGAAAGAATTCGCTGACGTTTACGTGGATAATTTACGATGGATGAATGCACTTAAAAATGATGCTGTGCATAGAAAGATTATGGAAACGAAGGAGACATTAGCGAACGAAGACTCGTTTGATCCTGATGAAGCTTTATCTGCAGCGGTTGACAAAAGAAAGTTTCTGTTGAAACAGCTTTTAGAAGATCAAGGACGTTTTTCAGATGGTGATGAATCGATGTAATGTTTATGTGAAATAAATATTTATTAAAACTGTATTGTGCCTTGTTTCATTGCAACAATAAGTCCTTGTAGAAAAATGGACATTAGAGTTTAGCCGTACCTTCTACCGGGCTATCGGGCCTAATCGGGCCAAAAAGTGCCATTTCGGGCCTAGTCGGGCCTTAATGCGAAGAATGCGAAGCAAAATGCGAAGAATGCGAACCAAAATACGAATAATGCGAAGCAAAATGCGAAAAATGCGAAGCAAAAAGCGAACCAAAATGCGAAAAATACGAACACGTATACGTACCCCGAGGGAAGCCTTGGGGAACCCCTAATTTATGCAAGCAAAACAGTATCATAGCAACATTATTTCGCTCTAAAATCATTTGCACAGTTCACATGCGTATAGGCTCATTCGTAATGTCCCACAATCATTGCATCAATCGTCTATGACGTACATAGATACAAATCTCTTGCTGTGTATATAAACTGTTGATGATATTCACGAGTAATAGGTCTTTTAGCTCAATAAATTTTTACTACGTTTTTGGTGTTATGCTACCTGCTTTCCGAATTAAAACCACTCTTTAATGAGAGGTTGGAATGCTTTACGTTTTCTCGGCTGAAAATTAGACACGTATAAACACATTTTTATAGCAAAGTAATGAACTAAGACATTTTATATATTGTTCTGAAAAACAATTTAAAACTTTAAACTACACTTAAAAGTGCCCTTATGCACAATGTTCTCCGCTCCAATACATCAGGTAGCTCAAAATAGCCTGGAAGCCTGAAAAATTTCCTCTCAAATTCGCCCAAAAATCAAATAGACATTGCTGCAAACAGATCATGCCTATCATATAAACCTTCCATTTTAAAATAAATATTTTTTTCCTCTGCGAAAGCTGTGTAAACACTACGCTCTTGTACACTCGAAGACCTCAATTTATACAGTATATTAAATCCGGTTCGAACTGGTATTGTAGCGCTTAATACAAGGATCATATTTTTTGACAATAAACGTTATGCGACAAATGTTTATGCGACAAATACTTGCTGACGCCATCCCAAAATTCCAAAAGATCACGCGACAAATGTTACGCGACAATGTTCCAAAAATGACGTCACTCTTATCCCTAAAAATGCTGACGTCCTATGGCGGGAAAAATGCTGACGTCACTTCCGCCGCTATATGGGGGGTTTCATCTACTAACGTATCATTCTTGATACCAATCGATTCGGTCTCCCAGAATCTTTGAAAACTATCTGTCAGATTATCATCTCGTTTGATACTGCCGGGCAATAGATAAGTTGCAGGTTCTTCTCGTTCGATTACTAAGTGCGATAATGTTGCATTGTTATTTTTTTCCAGTGTCTCTCGATGGCCCAGAGAGAACCCATCCAAATTTGCTGTTAACAGCCACTGGACCACCTTCTCCTCTTACAATTTCCCCAATTACAATGTCGTAATAATAATCAGATCCTATCAAGATGTCGATTTCATCATGACTGTTCTCGCCTAGAGAGGAATCAGCAAGATCCAATCCCATCTAGACCGCTAGTGGTCCCTCGAAGAAATGAGGGACCGCAGACAACACAGCAAGAAACGAAATACGCCCACTTTTCGCTGTTGTCAAATTGGCTCCGCCTTTGCATAAACATTACTATATCCAATTAAATCTATCCAATAGGAAACCGTTAAAGTGCATATGACATGAAATTTATTATTTTCTTAAATGAAAGAACTCTTTAAGCTGTAGTGTAACTTATATTTCAGTTTCTTGTTTTTTTGGTTTGTTCCCGAGATATTTCAATTTGTTTGATATGTAAATGAGTGTGAATATGTCCGCTAATTTATGACGTCACGTTGGTTGCAAGCTCAACTTACACTGGCTATAAATGTATTAACTCTAAAAACTGAAAATATCAGTTCACGTTTTTCTCCAGTGTTTCATCACATTTACCAGTGAGGGAAGTTTGAAGTTATCATCTTGGATGATAGCAGTGATATTCAACCATTTTGAGGAGCTTGCAACCAACGTGACGTCATAAATTAGCGGACATATTCACACTCATTTACATGTCAAACAAATTGAAATATCTCGGGAACAAACCATAAAAAAACAAGAAACTGAAATATAAGTTACACTACAGCTTAAAGAGTTCTTTCATTTAAGAAAATAATAAATTTCATGTCATATGCACTTTAATGTCATGTTTATTTACAGGGTGTATAAAAAAAGGTAATCGAACTTCAGCGCGCTATTGTACCTGAGTTACTCGGCGTATGAACCTTTTTTTTCACATTCGAAAAGATAAGGCTTTTAGCTGTTGAATGACATGTTTTCTTATCCCATACGTGTGTTAAAAGCGGCTTTCTGATTGGTTTAGAGCAGGTGAGCTTGTCGTCGAGCTCACCTGCTTTTTGCCGAACTCACCTGCTTTTCGCCCGAACTCACCCGCTAAACTGCTTACGTTGCAATAACAATATTAAACAAATATGGCGGCCGACAAGATTTAGCCGATAAACCTAAACTTTAAAGAACTTTTTTCGGTGACTAACATACTGAGACTGAAGAAAAACCAAAGAAAAAATGCAGTAAAGGTAATGTAGACGTAGATAAAGAAGTATTTTCTTGCCCAGTGATTTTTTTGGCCGGGAAAATGTTCACAAAACATCGATGAATATATCGCGAAGAGCTACAAATGTGTGTATGGCTCGGTGTATGGCTCGGTGTATGGGATAAAAACCAAACGTACTTGCAGGTTCGGTGAGTCCGCGATTGGACGCACCTCTCTGCAAGTACGTTTGTTATAATGCCAAATGGAGAAAAAATAAGCAAGTACGAGTCCAATAAAAAATGTTAGTCAGAATCGCATATTACAACGGTGAAAATATGCGATCTGACTAGCATTTTTTATACACCGATTAAATTGTTGTTATTTGAATAAAAATCCAACTTACCGGTTGTCAAAATGCTATGTTCTGACATTTTAAGGTTTACCGGTCCACGACTCGAAAACAAAGTTCGAGTTAACGGGATAAATTTGACCAAGGCAAAACAAAATTTGTTCGAATTAGCGAGGAGTTCGAGTTAAGCGAGTTCGAGTTAAGCGGAGTAAATTACTATAAAAAACAGTGTCACATCCAAGGGGAATTGGATTTAGTTCGAGTTAGCGAGGAGTTCGAGTTAAGCGAGTTCGAGTTAGCGGGGGACTACTGTATATAGTAAAATATTATTTTTAATAAGCTTTTATCCTGTTGTCATCACACAGATTGGCCGCAGGGATATTTTCAAGTACTTTTCTACTACCGTATATGGTAGTAAATACTCAATCTTCAATTGAGTTTTAAAACTCAATCTTCCTCCACAATGATTTTTTTCACAATTTGATTTTTTTAATGTAAATGTTCAATTAAAAACCTGTTTTTCTATACAATTTTGTTTAAAAAGCTGTCAAAAACTGTTTCACTTCTGAGACACAAAATCTCGTAGAGGAATACTCATGCCCATGCACACTAGAAATGTGTATCACAAACAGGGCCGCACATTACGGGGTGTGTGAAGGGGTGTGACACCCTCATAATTTTGAGAAATAGTCCAAAAAGTCGGTCCCAAATGAACCATTTGTCGCGGTCCTGATAAGCAAATTTATTTTTTCCGTGAGATTTATTTTTTGGACAGTGTCCAAAAAATAATAAGTAAGGTTACAGAATTGCTAATTGCCATTATACACTGCCAGAATCAACTTCCTTTCTGTGCTCTACAGCCAGCTGATGGCCAAACTAGATTCTGAAAATGCCAATGGACCATTTGCATTATAGACTAAATTTTGATCTACACAAAAATTTCATCACAGCTTAAAAGAGCATCACAAAATTAGTAATATTCCAAAGTTTCGTTGCAAAATGTTGTAAAATGCGGATAATATAGCCTTGCGAAATTTGCAATTTTCAGTCATTTTGTATTACAAACGGGAAATTGATGCCCCAACACCCGATTGGGCTGTCAATTTCCTGTGCGTAATACAAAATGACTGAAAAACGGCAAACTTCGCAAGGCTATATTATCCGCATTTTACAACATCTTGCAACGAAACTTTGGAATATTACTAATTTTGCGATGCTCTTTTAAGCTGTGATGAAATTTTTGTCTAGATCAAAATTTAGTCTATAATGCAAATGGTCCATTCCGACGATCTAGAGACTTCAAAGTTTCCCGCTTCCAAAATGTAAACATGTACAGTAAAACCTCGGTCCTGAAATGTGGTCTACCAAATCTTTTGTGGTTTATCAAAGAG